GAAATAGGCTAGTAAATAAGTTTAACTGGGTTCGTAAATAATATTGTCCTCAAAATATTGTGGCTGAGACATGAGCCGATTAAACGTAGAAATAGGAAACCTAGAAATATAGTAAAAACGCTGAATAGTAAGTACTCCAGCGTCGCAACATGCCGACGTTGGTACGAGTAGGTTAGTCTACAAACGTCGCCTAAAGTAATTGATTTTACGCGGCAGAACGAAAGAAGGAAACTCCGCTTTTCAGTTGTCTCAGGCGATTGATTTTTGACAAACAATGACCTTTCAGAGGTCAAATTGCTGTCAAGAATATGAATTGGCTGCTTCGCAGCAATTAATTTAATTAATACTTACTTGGACAACTTCACACATATTTTCAAGTTTCTCTTCACTGTCTGAATCATCTATATAGAGTGAAATAAAATAATGTATTAGAAGAATCAAAAAGCAATAATTATAATTTCTTGAGTGCTACCAGTTTCAGAAACGATTTGTTTTAAGACTCTTTCAATTTTTGAACCCTTTTTTTTTTTTTGAACATTTTGAACCCCCTCCTTCAAATCCTTGATCAGCCCCTAATAATAATATAATACATTAGAAATAAAGGCAATCATTAATAAGTCCTTCTATACCATCTCCTTTGTAACCAGAGTCATTTGCTATATAATTACTAACAATGACACATTCATTAATCACATATTTATTATTTACTTTATTTATTCAGGTTTAAAAAACATACAAAAACTGTTAGTTGTAGCATCATGGCTGAAGCGACTTCACTTAAAATGAGTGTAAAAAAAAAACCCAACACATACAGTACATGTATATATTTAGCATAAGGAAGTGCTTATCTACAAACATCTTATTGCTAATATACAGGGCCATCTGCCAAATTGCTAACAATGACAGAATTCAATAATTAAAATAAATTAGCATAAATTAGCATGCATTATTATATAATGCACCTTGCTATAAGCACACAACCTAAGGACATCACTTGTACTCTATAATTTGTCCAAATTAAATGTCATACATAAGTGTTAATGAATTGTTCAATGTCGTACGCACCTAAAGTCATTCTCTGTTCCATTGGTAAATAGGATGATAGGTGGTTAAAGCTGACTGCAAGGTGGCGCTTTGACTTGAGCAGAGCTGTGACCACATTACGATACACCTGCAGAGCCTGCTTCTTCGCCTCAGGTGATGGGCAGTCATCAACCTATCAAATTATGATAATTACAGACACATCTGAGTCGAAGACCTTATTGATATCTCTGATTCTCTCTTATAGATTTCATATCCTGATATAGGTGCTAGACTTGGAAATGTTGATTGTCACATCATGCACGTAATTAATTTCTATCGCACACACTCCAGAGAACCATTAAGGTTTGACACCTCTGAGCAGTAGCCTTGGTGAGCTGGCATTCATCATTGTACAGTAAGCCTCAAAATATAAATATCCTCTTCTTCTTAACCTGTGATTGGTTGTGAGCCTAATTTATAATTTTGAAATTTATAATTAAAAAGCACTATTCTAACTCATTCATATTCTTTTAGGCACCCAACCAGACTCCTGGATGAAAGAGAATAGAAATGCAGTTGAACTTGTCCAAGTCAAATCCAAAATGGCATTGAAAAATTGTGACTTACAGTTCGTCAATTAATGGAAAACACAACAATTTTGCATGGAAAATAAGATCGACTTAGAAATTATTCGAGTTAGGCAAAGTCGACATAGGCAAGTTTTACTGTAGAGCCATGCTCAAAGTCAAAAGCAATGCGCCCCACAACAAACCTCAGAGGGTGGAGTTGTGCATAACTGGCGCCCAGAACCCAGGGATTTAAATTAAAGGCAATCATCTTAACCACAAAACCAGAGCCTTGCAGGTGTCAGCGTTCCTATGCATGATACATGACCTCATATTAAGAAAATATAAGGTTGGGTCGAATTTGTGTGGTGGTTGAACTTGAACAAATTTCCTTGAGAAAGGAAAATATAACAGTAATAGGGAAAAGAGACAAGAAGGTAGTACATTGTAATGTAATACTCCATGTTACATTGATTCAGTGTTCTGATCAGTTAGTGGATTGAACAATTCTCAAGTATGACTTAATTGTATGTCCTATTCAAATATGAGTATAAATTATTAAATTCAATAAAACATGTCATAAGCCTACGAAATTAGAACAAAAAGACATACATTCAATTCATTAGAATTATCATTTTTTAAACTATTGTTTACCGCAATTCCCAAAAAAAAGCAATCCATCGCTCGACTCTTTAATTAGTGATCAACAATTCTTAAAAAAGGAAAAGGTGCATTATATTCTTCTGTATACTTATTGACAAATTATTGACAAATATGATTCATTTCTTATATGTTAAGAATTACTGATATTTTTGGAATATCCACCATAAATAAAATTAAACAGAGACTTTTTGTTTGACTAAAGTTAAACATGAAGCATGCCCTAAAAGCTTCTAATCTATTACACTAGGAGTGTTTTTTAAGTAATTAATTCTTTAATGATTATTAATGTTGTTAATCTATAAATTAATGATTTTTATTGCCCATTTCAAAGTCTTTTGTATGGTTATATCATAACATTTGAGTTTATGTTTTGATGTGCCATTTTATTCAGTCTTTAAATTTGTATAATTCAACTACAGTACTGTTTTTATAGCTGCAACAAAAGGATTGACTCATTGATTGAATTGAACATATATTTCAAAGATCTTTAACACAAATTAAATGGTGTTTAATTTTTCCCCTTTATTTTACATCCAACAGCTCTTTAAGAGCCTTAGGGAAATGTTGTTAACTGCCAGACTTCTTTTGAGGTTTCTTGAATTGTTATAAGTTACATACTGTCATAAAAATGGTGTGTTTAATAAATTGGCAGGTAAATACTAGGGGGACGAGTAAACTTTTCGCTGGCAATGGGATAGTAATTTTTATTCCTTTTGCCAAATACTAGTTTTCTCGTCTGCTTTTTGCATGAGTTGGTATATCTTCAGAGGGCTCCCCCACTTGTGCAATCTTTCGTAATACTGGCAACATATAACACAACAAACATAATAAGGTATGTTATGTGTGTGTTATTGTCTAGGTCTATCTTCCCCAAATCATCAGCCATATGTCTGTGGTTCTACAATGTGTAACAATGAAGTAATAAACGCTAGAATGTTACCCTGGTTCTGACGAGTATAGTCGTCCCTAGCAGCCTGTAAAACCATCCTGTGGGACGAGTATATGTTGTATTAAGTCAGATCTGTACTAGTACTGATTGATGCTGAATAATCAGTTTTGGTTTCTAGTTGCGAGGTCATACTCTACTCTATTTATGATAGTTCCAGAATTTACAAAACTACTTCAATAAATTGCGTACCATAAATATTAATAAACGAGTACATTGGGATTAATTTTTTTCAAAAGTTTAATATTAATAATGAATAATAATAGAATGGAAATCCCTAATGCATTTATACATTCATTATGTCAAATGTAATAGTTCCAAAATTTACATAATTACTTCAAAAAATGTTGTATATCAGTATTAATTAACTTGTACACTGGGATTTTTTAAAATTATAATAATATTAATAATGAATACTATAATGGATATCACCAATGAATTTATACATTCATTACGCTGAATGCAAAGTGGCAAAGACAGACCATATTTTTTAGAACAATCTGTATTATTGGAAAAATTAATTAAGTTTGACAGTGATACTGTAAGTCTTCTTTGACAAGTAAGAAATACTAAGCCAGTCGTCACTACGAGCTATGTTGCAGGTGAAGCTAAAGGAGCGGGTGTAATGAAATTACACCTAATCAATAAAAAGAAACAAATCAGTAGAATCATTCCATATGAATCCAACACACTTTTTTGCCCGACCCCCTTCAAATCGCCCAATATTTTGCATGTTGGGGGTACTACCTGAGATAACCCCACAATGAAATTTTTGGCTCCGCGCCAGCATTTTCTGATGAGGTAGAGCAATTTGAAATTTTCATGAGTCACCAAGTTTTTCACCAAATAGAAATGGAGTTACATGCCAAAATATTCAATTTTCGATGGTTTATTATGGCGGCCATTTGAATTCCAAAATAGCTGCCATCCTAGATATATAAAAATCATGTATATTGGACTCAAAGAGCACAATAACATTATGCTTAAACACCAAATTTAGCATTTTTCATCAGAGAAGTGAAATTACAAACTAAAATATTCAAATTTTGAATTTAAAAATGACTACCATCCTAGCTTTTTGAAACTATATTTATTGTATTCAGAGAGCCCAAAATCATATGATTAGATCCAAATTTACCATTTTCCATGGAGGAAATGTGGAATTATACTGAAAAATTATTTTTTTGGCCATTTTTAAGGTGGCCATCTTGATTTTGAATATGGCTGCCATTTTACGTTTTTGAAACCTGTCTCATTGGCTTCAGTGACCATAATAACATATAGTTAGACACCAGATTTGCCCTTTTTCATTTTATATAAGCGAGTCAATATCATTATTTTGGTCGCCATTTTGAAAATGGCCGCCAAAAAAAGTGCCGCCCTTTTTCTGGAGGTTCTCCCTCGCTCAATTTCCTATTTATACCCTAGTGATGCTAAATCAGCAGTGAAACCTTGGTCCCAGAAAAATGGTCACGGGGCCCCTGATTTTCACTATACTACTGTATGGTGCCAGTTTCATAGAATCTATCAGCAGATTTCCTGGAAACTCAGTGAAACTATCAATACCTAGGCACAAAATGTAGTCTAGAGCTAATATATTTCATTTGCCCACAATGAAAGTTTAGGGGCATCATGTGGGCTAAGTGTCCTAACTGAGGTGAGAATTTTCCAAAAATCGGGATATATACTTTTGTGATATTTTGGGTCAAAGGTCAAGGTCATGTGACTTGACCTATATAATTCTCACTAGTCCGGACATCATCGAGTTGCATATCATTGGAAAAAGAATCTTTTCTCTATCCAACAGTATTAGAATTTCTCCAATACGTTGAGTTTCAAGAGAGATATCAGCAGTTGTCTGTCAGAAGGTGAGTTTTTTAGCCAAATCTCATGAAAATTTCAAATTGCTCTAACTCATTAGAAAATGCTGGCACGGAGCCAAAAATTTCACTGTGGGGTTATCTCAGATAGAACCCCCAACATGCAAAATATTGGGCGATTTGAAGGGGGGGTCGGGCAAAAAAGTGTGTTGGATTCATATGGAATGACTGAGTAGTAATAATTAATAATCACAATAATAAAAATAATAATTAATAAGTAATATTTATTTGCTCTTACAGCGAAGTTGACCCTCAAACATTGAATACAAATATACAAATAAATAGGTTAACATAAAAACACTACAACAAAAATTCTATTATAATAAAAAATTGTTTAACTATAATGAATACAAAATCCGAAATGCAATTTAAAATAGCATTCAGTATATAAGTAGTTTATATTCAAGACATAAATTTACTAGTAGGAGTTTACTGTACATATAATGTATTTGTTTTATTTGCTTTCCTGTTTCAGAATATATTCACAGATATTAAAAAGAAAATTTAACTGCCATCGTCGTGCCTATGGTTTGCCTCCTTAAAAAATAAAATTGATTTCTTAAGCCACAATCGCACTGGACTTTTTTTGGTAAAACTAACCAACACGTTGGCTAGTTTTACCA